CCCCTAAAAAAAAAAAAAAAAAAAAAAAAAAAAAAAAAAAAAAAAAAAAAAAAAAAAAAACTTCTTCAATTTCAAAGATTAATCATTTTGTGCTCAGAATGCTGTGCCATCATCCATATTCGTCCAAAAACATGATTTAGTTCTTTCATACAACTGCAGGGTCCACCCCTGATGAGTGTGAACAGGAAAACCTAGGCCTCTTTGAAGCTTCTGAGTTTCAGATCGCATCTGAGGGTGCTTCAACTTCAGTAGATTCAACCTTCATGGTCCATCTTGTCAGATTTGAGCTGTTTGTTAAGGATCCGCTGTGTGCAAAATGAACCAAGCACTGTGTTATGAGCTGTACGCAGATTAATCCCCAGTAGAGTATGAGCCGAGTGTTCAGAATGTGCAGTGGTTGGTATGGGTTGTTTTGTTGTTGACTGGTTCGTTATCTGATTATTACAATGCAAGTGTTCAATTTTCAGACAACAGATCAATTTCATTTACATTGAGGTGCAACATGATGCAATGCGATGCAATATATGAAATGTACAAATGCAACACTTTTTCAAACAAAAAGTTTGTTTCATTTCATCATCTTTTTCAAGTACATGGCTTTGAAAACAAAATCTGCCTACGGCAGTACAAAGGTACTCTAGCTACCAACAAAAAGTACAAAAAGAAAGAAGAAAAAGAAAAACAGCAAAAATCTGGATCAATGACAAAGGATCTCAAGCTTGGGAGTCCGTCCTAGTCCTCTTCCTGGACGAAGGTCCCGGAGCATCATCAGCGCTGTCATCTGAGCCCGAGTCCGAGCCGTCTCCGGTCTCCTCCGACGACGACTCTGCATTCAACTCCAACTCCTCGTCATCGTCATCAGGGACTGGAGCTCGCGAGCTACTCCCGACGTAAGTGCGCCCCTCCTTGGTGCGGGGGAATACTCTGCCCTCTCCATCTCCTCCGGCAGGAACAGAAGGCCTGGCTGGAACACCTCCCACAGTGGGAATCTGGAAAGGAGGCTAAAAAGTATAAGAGGCAAACGCATCAGTATGCTGTGAGCAGTTTATCAGTGCAGAATGCAGTGTATGAGTACAATGT